CGAGCAGTATTGACGCCGTGCTGGTCCTGAGTACCATGCCCTTCTTATTGCCACACTAGATTAGGACAGTCCTATCGGCCTCGATTTCGAGTAGTATTATCGTCACGCTGGTCTTGAGTACTATGCCTGTCTTGCTACCACTCCGAGTCGGTCATTGTCTAGCTATCATGTTAGTCTCGTCCCTTCATCAAGCTCCCTTCTCTTTTCTATCCTTATTTGAACCTTCCAGTTCATCACCCTTTCATATGAACATACATTGACCTAAGACAAGGGTGGATCCCTTTGGCCCACTTGTCTTGAAAATTAACCATGTTAGTTCTATGCAGAAAACAAGGTAATTGCCGCTCAAAGGAGGCGAATCCGAACCAGCTAAAGCAGTTAGGGTACTTTCTTCGTGATCTAAGAGGGTGCCCATGCGAACCAGCCCGAGTAAGTCCCGAACCCACCTTAAATTCCTCTCTTAAAGATTGACATACTTGCCCTTGCTCTTGAGCAAGGTTCCTGAGAGAGCGATCTCAAGTCCCAGGTTTCTTTAGAAACTCGAGATACGTGCCGCTAGATAATCTAGATCTGGAGGGCGAGATCGATGCACCTAACCAACTACATCTTAAAAAAAAAAAATTCTCGGTATTTTTTTTTAATGTCATAAGTTTTATTTTTTGTTTTTAATCATATGATATGGAAGCATTTTCTAATAAATTTTTAATCATAGTTGTTATAATATTATAATTAATAATTATACATTTAATAACCAAATCTTGTATTTTATTTATTATTTTATTCGTATTATAAATTATGTAATGTATTATTTTTCTTATAGTTTTAAATAAGATTTTTTAAAATTAGATGATAGATATTAGATTTGTTCTTATTTGTATACTAAAATAAATATAACATATAAATCAACAATTTTTCTTTAAAAAATTTTTAGTATATAATATTATAGTTACTTAGGTTGTAATAATTTTGGTTAAGTAAAGTAAATTAATAAATGTTTGACACTTTCATGTGACCCTAATTTTATTTTATATGGGAAATTATTCTTTTTAATCTTGTAATACATAAGTGTTTGCTAATATTTTTAAATTATTTTGATTCTATATTGTAATAATATATTAAGAATTATATACATTGAGACCATTTATCTTTGATACAAGGTGGTCATAATTCCTTACAACCATTTGATGTGAAATTTGATAGCTTGGATGTGTCACAAAGTTTGAGAAAATTTCTTTTGAAGATTGAGCTTGGTCAATGGAATAATTGCATCCACCCAATTTCACATCCAATGGTCAAGATTAGCCTTGTATCAAAGGTAACTGGTCTCATTCTATACTTTCTCAATATGTTATAATTAATAATTATGCATATATCTAAACAGGAAAACAAGGTCTCAGTATTCACCTATTTTTATAAAGTAATGAAAGTCCATAATGCACCACTCCTAAATTCTTTTAGAAACTAAAAGAACACTATTTTTAGATATTTATAGTGATTTTTGTAAAAAAATTTGAGAAAAAAATTACCAATTCCATTGATTCTCCGATCCCATCCACTGATTCCCCAATCCGACATGGGTATGGGTATGACTGATTTGAGTCATCGATCCATTTTTTAAAACCTTAGTTTTGAATTTCATGAAAGAGGTGTGGTGAACATTAACATGAATTCTATTTTTATTGCTCTTATACCTAAGAAGAGAAGCATTCAAAAGTTGGGGGATATTAAGCCTATTAGTTTGCTATCTAGCCTTTACAAGATCCTTGCTAAGTGTTTAGCTAAGAGATTAAAAAGTGTTTTTCCTATGGTGATTAAAGGCCCTCAATCAACCTTTATTCAAATAGGCAAATCATGGATAGCATTTTATGTGCTCAAGAAATTATAAGTTCTCGAATTGCTGATAAGACAGAAGGTATAGTATGCAAAATTGATATAGAAAAGGTATATGATAAAGTTGAATGGAGGATTTTATTGCAAACTATAAAAGCTATGGAATTTGGAGATAGGTGGTTAAAATGGATTGAAGGTTGTTTGAGTTCAACTTACTTTTCCATTTTAATTAATGGGAAACCGAAATATTTTCTTAAAGCTTCAAGAGGAATTCGACGACAAGGAGATCCTTTTTCTCCCTTTTTGTTTACAACTATGGGAGAAGTTTTCAGTGTGATGTTATCATCGGTGGTTTTTGCTTAGTGGTTTTTAGGTTAAGAGCAATGGGACTAATGTATCTCATCTGCATAAGTGGTTTCTAGGTTAAGAGCAATGAGACTAATGTACCCTATCTGTAGTATGCAGATGATACATTAATATTGTGTGGTGCTAATGAGGTAGAGATCTCTGTTTTGAAGAGATTTTTGAAAGTATTTGAAGTGGTAACGGGGCAGAAGGTAAACTTGAATAAAACACATATTATTGATGTTGCATGTGAAGATAGCAAAGTGCAACAGTTTGCTGAATGTATGAACTGTGAAATTGGTAGATTTCCAGTTAGATATTTGGGGATACCACTATCTGACAGCAACAATAGGGTGGCTTTGTGGGATCCAGTTATTCAAAGGATACAATATAAGCTTGACTCATAGAAATACAAACTTTTGTCCTTGGGGGGCAGAATTACATTGATCAAGGAAACTATAGCAAATGTGAAAGGTTTCTATACTTCCCCTACAACATAGAAGATATATGCTTCCCCTACCATCCAACCGTCCAATTTTGACACTTACCGTTTGATCTTAGATCCGATGTCTCAAAGTATTTTATTTTTATATAAATTATATGAATATGTTATCCACCATATTCTCATTGGGACGCACCTATAAAAAATGTTAAAAATAATTTTTTGATAAAATATAATGACCAAAATACCCCTTGAAATTTTCATGGGTATTTTGGTCATTGTATTTTATTAGAAATATTTTTTTAATATTTTTCTTTAGTGCGAGTTTAATAGAGGATTGGACATCCAAATTTTTGTGTCAAAATAGTGTAAAAAAAATAAATAAAAATAAAATAGTATAGAGACGTGACATTGTGATTGGGGAAATCTTAGCCCTCCATTCAGAATGGACGGTTGGATAAGGGGAAGTATAGAAGTTTTATGCTATAGAGGAAACATAGAAAGCTTCCCCATAAAAAATTTACCAATATATGCATGTCATTGTTTAAAATACCTAGATGTGTGGCAAAAAAGATAGAAGACTTGATAGAAGGTTTTTATGAGGGGAGCATGATGGTAAGAAGAAATATAGTCTTGTTAAATGGGACAAAGTGTGCACTCCAATTGATGAAGGGGTTTGGGGTTAAAAAAGATACAAATTATGAATAGTGCTTTGTTGACTAAGTGGTGGTGGTGATGTGCAACAGAAAGGATAAGTTATGGCATAGGATTTTAGGGGAGAAATATAGGGAGTATATCGAGCATGGGATAGTGGCAAAAGGATGACAGAAGAAAGGTATATCACCGATTTGGAAAGGTATGTTATCCCATAGAATTTTCTTTATGGGTAATATGAGAAACATTGTTGGTAAAGGTGACAAAGTGAAATTTTAGCAGCAGAAATGGATTGGTGAATGTGCTCTTAAGGTTCAATTTTCTCTTCTTTTTGCTAAAGTTACTTCAAAAAACAAATATGTTTATGAGATGGTAGGTAGTACATTCAATTTAAATTGGGATATATGTTGTTCTTATAGGAGAGTTAGGAATGAGGTTGTGACTGAATATGTACAATGTTTGGATATTCTTAAACAATGTTTTATTATCTTGATATGGAGGATAAAGTTATTGCAAACCTAGTAAAATGGGAAATTTTCAGTTAGCTCGGCTTATAAGTTATTGTTTAATGATCACAATAGATGGATGGATAAAGAGGCAGGAAAGATTTGGCAGTGGTCTGTTCCCTTGAAAGTCAGAGCTTTCTTATTGTTGCTGAAGTTAAAGAAGAGTGTTAACAATTGATATGCTGCAAAAGAAAGGGAAAATCATTGTGAATGTATGTATTTTATGTAAACAGAATGAGGAAAATGTTGAGCATTTATTATTGGAATGTGTATTTGCTAAGCAGGTTTGAACTAAAATTCTTATGGGAATGGATTTGAATGCTTGGGACCAGTTCAGTATGATAATGAATTGGGGGATTGGCTGATGAATGGATTGAGTAAAAAAAGGGGAGTTATTTGGAAAGTTGCAAGGGCTGCTGTATGTTGGGAAATTTGGAAGGAGAGAAATAAGAGATGCTTTGAAGCTAGGTTATAGACACCTATACAAGTAGTTGAAAGGATTAGAAGTGTAGTGGCTGATTGGCTTGGAGTTAATAAATTCTGGTGGGGTATCTCGATTTGATTTGATGTATAATTTGGATCTATTGCTAAGAGATCGTATACCAAAAGTTATAAGAGTGGGGATATGGAAATGTCCTGATGGATTAAAATAAATTTTGATGGCAGTTCTATGGGCAACCTTGGTCCTGCATGGATTGGTGGGATTATTAGAGATAGCAATTGTGGTATTTTAAAGAAATTTTATGCACCAATAGGGATTGCTACATCAAATGAAGCAGATGCAAGGCGGCATTGCAAGGTGTGAAATTAGCCAGAGAATATAAAATGCCATTGTAATTGAAGGGGACTCAATGAATATCGTAAATTGGATAAAGGGCATGTGGAAGTTACATAGTCTGATATGTGAGTTGATTGATGCTTGCAAGGAAATGCAATTTTCTGTAAAACATGTTTGTAGAGAGAACATGGAGGTTGACTATTGTTTAGTGCTTCCCTTTTGACTGTTGTTTAGTTTCCTTCATTTGCTTTGTTTTTTGATGTATAATTTGCCAGTTTTATGAAATGTGCATTACTGTTTTATGAAATAATTGTGTTTGTTGTTGAATGAAAATTATTCCTTTTTTTAAATAAATAAATAAATAAATAAATAACCACGAACAAAATGATATAAAATGTACGATCGTGGTGCTGTGTCGAATGATCGAACCCATTAGTGTGTTGGGGACAAAAGTAGAGCGCAAAAAAAAGTGGTATAGGCGTGTCGAACTCGTACCAATACTCTTGTTGGGCGGAGCCCACTGTTGGCTCGTTGGCGGCAACAAGAAGAGGGAAGGAGAACGTTGCAGGGGTTTTAAAGCAGGAGCAGCTGCTGACTCAACTCCACACTCGATGGACTCCATACAATACTCATGCAATCTAATGATGAAAAAGTTGCAGAGGAGGCGCACGCACGGGCCCCTGCCTCTCAAACACCAGGCAGCATTCGAGACATGGACCTTCTCCTTCTCCCTCTCCTTCTCCCCACCCTCCCTAACGAACAGGTTTCGCCTTTTCCTTTCTCCTCCTATAAACCACAACAAATGCTCTCTGTGTGTATGTGATTTAATGGCGTCTTTGGTCACACATTCTTTGATGGGTTCGTCTTCGAATGATGCAGATCACAATTTGGTGGTGCCGGTCTCTCTGTTCGTTGCGGTGCTCTGTGTGTGCATTGTCCTTGGGCATCTTCTCAGAGAGAGAGGATGGGCAAACGAGTCCATAACTGCTCTGATCATTGTAGGTTCACAGATTATTGCATTGAATAGCTTTCTCTAATATGGCTAGATGGGGCTCTTTCTTTCTCTCCTTGTGTCTCTCTTAACTGTCTCATTTTTATTCACATTGGAACTGAAATTTTCTTAATGGAAGGGATGCATCACTGGAACTGTGATCTTGATGCGGAGTAGAGGCAGCAATCCCCACATTCTGAGATTTGACGAGGACCTTTTCTTTATTTACCTTCTCCCTCCCATTATTTTTAATGCTGGGTTTGTGCTCTTGAATTGTTAAATGTCCATTTCACTCGTGAATTTATTGATGCTTCTTTTATGGAAGTTCATTTTTCATGCTTGCTGACTGTTTACTCTGTTTTCAGGTTTCAGATAAAGAAGAAGCGATTTTTTCAAAATATTGTGGCCATAGTGCTCTTTGGAGTAGTGGGGGTTTTTATTTCATCTACTGTTATCTCGGCTGGTATGGATTGCTCAAATTCAGTGTTTGAATTGTGGCCAAGGCATATGCAAATTTGAATTCTAGCAAAACGCGAATCAACACCATGCTCTTATTTTTATTTTTTGTGAATTTGATTTATAAATATTAATACAAAAGGAATCTGATCACTATGTATCTCTTATGGAATGTGACATTCTGAACCATATGCTTTTAGACCATCCTCATATGCACGTCTTTGATGTATTTTTTATCACTAAACCACATGGATTTCTTTCTGTTTATCAACAGTCATGGCAAGCTAATCCTCTCTAATAGAAATGTGAGAAGGTATTGCTGCATGGATTGGATGTAGAATTGCGGCTTATGCAACCACAATATTTCAAAAAATTATTTGTCTTTTTTTTAGGTATCAAAAAAAATAAAAAGAGAAGAAAAACATAAAAAAAAAAAAATTGTCTTCCCTGTCCAGTTAGTGCAATATCCTTTTAGTCATTGGTTTTGGATTGAATTGTAATAACTTGCTTATTTTTGCACTTGTAATAACATGCTTATTTTTGCACTTTAAGTCAACTCGTTAATAACTACAAAATAAGTCAACCAGTATATAGATGTTAGTTGGGCCTCACTACTTGTTGAATAGGTGGTTCTTTTGACTATTATATCCATGCATTCTTATGTCCTTGCTAGTTAAAATTTAGTTAAACTAAGACATAATATATGGAATGCAAGATTAATAATAATAGGAGTAGAAATGAGGAATTAGTTTAAGATTGATAGTCAAGAAGTACCTAAAAGAGATTTTTTTTTTTGATATCTAGGGTTGATAATCCGTAAGAATGGAGAGATTGAGGAAAGTGTCGTGTATACTATTAGAGCTGGGTGGGCGAAGTTGAGATGCTTCTGGAGTCTAATATAATTGTCGCATTTAATGAAACTGAAGGACAAGATCTATAGGATGGCTGTAAGACTAGCTATGCTTAATGGGACGGGATGTTGGCCGATCAAGAAACAACATATCTATTGAATAGTGTAGCTGAGATGATGATGTTGAGATGGATGAGTGGCAAGACAAAAAACGATGGAATTCGGAACGAATACATTCGAGGGAACTTAGGAGTCGCGCCAATAGGCGATAAGATGGAACACACACTTAGGTGGTCTGAACATATGCATCGTCGATCTAGAGCAACACCAGTTAGGAGTGGTTTGATTCAAGTGAATGGCTGTAAAAGGGCAAGGGAAAGCCCAAAAGAACATGGATGGAAATAGTGAGAAGAGATATGGCGATTATGGTCTGACAGAGGGTGTGGCCCTTGATAGAGTAGAATAATGGCGTAAGATTCGTACAACCAACCCCAAATGGTTAGGAAAAGGCTTGGATGATGATGATGATCTTATGTCCTTCTAGTCTTGTATTCTTTTGGGTAAGTTCTTGTTTGAAAATACACTTTTCCAAGACTGAGTTATATAGTAGGCATTTAAGATGGCTGACATTGGATAAATGAAACACTAATGCCCACTCTAGGCTCATAATTCAGCTTTCGAACAATGAATATGTGAAAGCTTGAGCCATATTTAATTATTTCCTAACTTATCATTTGGTGCTCTTAATATTGGGAAGTAGTTAAGGGTTGCAATAGATGGGACTATACCTGATATATGGCATCACACTGTAGTAGTTGGGGTGTTTGTAGGCCTATAGTAGTTGAGGTTTGGTTCTTTAGGGGCATATGAGTGGAAATGATAGGTCAGCCAATGAAGCTAACCCTATCTTTGTCCAGGCACCTTTAGAGAGAATAAACAAGGCCTTCATGGATGATTTGTATGATAAGGCAATGATTCACTAGGTACAATAATGAGATTTGATCAGAAGCAGTAATTAAACGATGTCTTGCCACCGTTGGCAAGTACATACTATTTCTTAGCTGTCACAATCAATGTTTCATATGTTATCCTTTACCATATTCAAGAGGGGTTTATCGTTCGAACTATATTACATGGATTCTTCTGATTGAGTATTGTACTTATGTCGAACATGTGCCAATTTTTTCCCATTTTTCTTCTTGTTCTAGAATTCAATGTCTTTTTTGTTTTGAGTGACATTTTTCAAATTCGAAAATATATGAATTCAACTATCAAGGCGTAGTTGATTCTTTAGCTATTCATCATGAACTAGAATATTGGTAAATAATATTGATTTTCATTATCTCTCTATATGTAGTATGGAAGTTGGAGCTGCCTTAGATAAGCATCTATGAACTTGTTTATTCTCATTATGAGGGGTTCATTGGAAACACATGAAAGACACTGAATTAATATGAGTGTTGCAATTGGAAAGTTCCTATATTGTTGTTTTTGTAGGATGGCAGGGATATATGTTGATTCTTTCACTCAGGAGAAATTGAAATGCTATGCTTAACGGTAGTACCTTAAGCTTTGCTCCAAATACAAGGGCTGCCTATGCTTCTCTGTGAATGTACTATTGGAATATTCTTTCTTATGACTCAACGTTGTTGGTCCCCGAGTTTTTGATAAATCTTGAATACCAATTTCCATATCGAATATGTAGCAGTAGACTTCTGACCCTGACAAAGTCAATGTCTCCCTGAGATACTCTAATCAAGTTCCTATTTTGTGACTGTTTTGCTCAAGTTATTAAAGTTCTAATGTCGGAATGGAGCCCTTATTTTAGGATTGAGGCAAGTGGGCAAAACATGTAGCACGTGAATGAGCCAAACCATCTATTTCAAAAGCCTTCATCTATAAAATGCCGCCTGGCAAGAACTTGGCCTTTGGCTCAGTCTTCAGTGCATCATGAAAAATTGATCTATTACACTTCACACATTCTTGATGTCCTTTACTCTGGCTTAGCGAAACCTTTAGGACATATGTTTGCAGCTCTTGCTGACACCTCCTCTGTGATATTTCCCAGCCTACAAATATTCCATTTCACATAAATAGTTCTGAAGGCCTTCAAGTCCCTTGTGCCATTGAATTTGTTGTGACACTTTAATCATTAACATCTATATTGGTCATGACATACGTCTTTCTTTAGCTTGCTGATATTTTCCATCAGTCAGGCACCAGAGCTTGTCCATGACGCCCTTGTTAGTCTTTTCTAAGGCTTTCCACCTTGGCGTTGTTGTCAATCCTTTTGTCCATTTGCTTCCTTCCAATCCAATAGTGTTTCAACCCGCCTCTATCTCTATCTATCTCTTTTTCTTTGTTTTTTCCCTTCTTTTGTTGATCAGTGGCGGGTTTCAAATTTGGAATGAGGTGTTGTAATTGTGAATACCGTAAATAACAAGGCAAGTGCCCAAATCCCATTCTACCTACCTCTAGTCCAAAAAGATCATCAGTGACAAGCTACCACATCTGGCATATTTTGATCTAAGGCCCTGAAGGAGTTCCAACATCGTAAATACCAGTTCCAGTATTATAATCAACCTGTCAGGCAAGTCTCTTTGATGGTCTTATGGATTTTTGCTTGTCGCAAGTCAGCAAAAGTCTAAGACTTCACCTGTCATAATGATCTTGCACTCTGGCCTTAACTTATAATGCAGCGGCCTACCCACTGCTGTAGAATCAGTCTCTGTGAAGAAGTCTTAGCATAGCCCAAGTAGCATTGTTAATTTATTTATTTATTTATTTTAATGCCACTCATGTGATGTGTTAGTTGCACAGTTATGTCCAGGGGAAATCAAGAGAAATCGCTCAAAGCATGTTGCTGTTGGAATATAGAACATTTCCATTGAAGTGATTTTATTTCCATGAAAATCAAAATACTCATCAAATTTGTACTTAGTGAGTTTATCGGAGGAAGAACTAATGCAAAATGAATTGTCAAATTCTAATACCACCTGCCTCTCAAAAAGCTCATTGTCACCTTAGATGTCAAAGCAGAAAAATTTTGCACGAAATTTGAAGACAAATAAATATACAAGTAGAAAAGAATGAACTTTTACTTTGAAGAATACAGTCTTCAAAGAAGACTATAAGAAAGGTCTAGGACTGTAATTGGACAAAGTAAACATAGGGAGAGTGGGTATGTTGATTTAAGGTTAGACCTACCTTGAAGAACAAGATTAAATAAGAATCTGGAAGCCAATCCAAGTGGTACTCTACTTCTTGAATTACAATCCAAGCCCTACACAAACAAGGGTGCTACTCCATATTTCTAGAGTCTGGTGTAGATATATATATATATATATATATATATATATACGTAGGTAGAGTAGGTACTACGTACCTCGTACGTAGGTAGTTTAAGGTTACGTAACGTTATTAACGTTAGTAACGTAAACGAAAGTAAAGTTAAAAACGT